GAACAAAGAATGATGTTTCACACCAAGGATATGGTATTAAATTCACTCACATCGTGTGATATCATTTCCATCACAGCTAACAACTAAAAGTGACTGAAAGRTATTGGAATTGTCATCCCCGTGATACAGTCCGGTGGAGATGACCGATGGATAATGTTTGATKATTCAATCGCAAAGCAAGGCCATCAAGCTTGTTAGCAATTTATTTGAACAGAATTCTTCTACTCTGTGAATATGATTTTCATTAAGGGTAGAATTGAAAGGGAAGGATCATTTGYACGATGWCATTTTCAGTTTCAATATCACGCTTKTGYGGTGTTCAAAATGACATTAAAAYAKAGTTTCATCGTCGCTGATATYGGCGTCCGTGCCCTGTTCACAGTTGGCGCTGTCGGTATCTGCAAAATCTTTTTCGAATTCATCAGCTTGTAAGTCAATCATCTCCTCAGTCTCATCGCCATTGTCGTTCGTTTGGCCTTCCTGTCCCGCAAAATCATCGATATCATCTTTCTCTTCCTCCACCAACAAAGCTTCTTGTTGGTCTYTCAATATTCTTGATGTCCTCATTCCTTCGACGGAACTCAACATAGCCRGGGACAGCCACCAATTGTCTTTCGACTGATTTATGCTATTGCAAATCAATTGCAGCGACTCGATGGTTTGTGATATTTGAAGATTTACTTTGCGAAACGAACCTCCATTGCCTCCAACGATCGACATTGGCATGCCACATCCCTCCACTTTAAGAAGAAAASGTGATATAAGAGGAAAGACGGGGTGGTGGCRGGGGAGGAAAGAATATATCTTGTCAGAAAAATGTAGGGTTCATCGCATAATACAAGACAACGGCATCGAACATCTTTCTTGTACATCAGAATGAATTATGGAATTTAAAACGTTTTTGTATRTTTTCTCACCTGGACAAACGGAATGCTTCGCAGAATGTCTATCAATGCAGTTCATACAGAAYGTATGTGCACACGCGGCTAGGGTTGCTGGTCGATCAAAGATCTATCATTCGTGGGAGKCAATGTATTGYAATGGCGGATTAAAAATAATGTATTCATCAGTCAAACGAAGAACATATTTGTTGTMAATTTTGAATTTGTTRCTATAAATCCATTGCAACTCCCATCCTGCGATCTCATCCAACGAATCGGTGAGAAAACACTYGATAATTTTCAGTCGACTCTTCCCATCTTCATCGTCGCTCCTTAGCTCGTAAAAATCTCACCTTGTTGCAGAGAGGGCACATCAGCAAACGCGCAAATTTAGAAATAGATCTTCGCATCTCTTTCGTTGCTTTGTTCTCCTCCACAAGCAATCCTGCTGCCGAGAGAGTGTTATTAAGAATGGTTTCATGGCTCGTTTCCATATTGCTCCGTCGAAATCAGCGATTTCGTTTTTTTCGCACGATTGAGATGCGATTCTTTCAACAGCAGCAGTCTTCAAGTCTTAGTATTCCTATTTATCGGTGACGCTGAGATCAAGATGGCCATGTAGCAAGTTGAATTGATTCCTTAAGCGATTTCTACCACCTTGCTWCAAGGTTTCTACAAGAGGGAATATCCGTWATGTATCGTCTCGATCAGATAGTGTGGAGGTTCGTCTTGTATTGTGCTTGCCTGCTACATTCTCGCACCGATACCGAGGCGTCTTCCTTTCTAAAAAAATCCGCGCCAAAAAATTACTCGAGGTCTTTTGCGGTGCGCTGCAAGTACAACTCACATANAGTTTATCGTATTGAGCGAACGAGTATTTTTAGTACGTATTTCTGTACTGTTCTCACTCATTTTTGTTGTTGTTTACTTCATACTGTACGGCACCGGTACCAAATTTTTGCAACCCATTTCTCAAAACGGTCGGAGGAGTCAGCTGGTACTTAAAATACGTAGGATTTTACGTAGGCTATAACACGTCACTTAGTCCCACTCCATTTACCACCGTACTTACATGTGCTACATAAATTGTGGTAGAGATTCTACACAGAAACCGTATTAGCGTTTCTGTTCTGGTCGCATCCGTACCTCTTTCGGTTGCTTAAGACAGAGCAAATTATACTGAGACTGCAACCATTTTGCAACTCCCTCCTGGTGACGCACGAGAGGTGCATTTTTTTGCTCACAAAATAACAGCAACAACACTCGCATATCCCATACGAGTAAAACATACGAGTACCGGTTCAAGCAAAACCCCAAGCAAGAACACGCAAATACAGCACAGTAGCAGCAGTAAGTATCGAAAAACAGCAGCACAGCAGTCGTCGACTCACGAGAGGTGCAAAATTGGCTCAAACTTCGAGTACAAGCAAAAACTTTGAGTACAAGCAAAATCCAAGAAGAAGCAACAAGCAAATTACACCGTAAACCACCACGAGGAGGATATCATAGCTGCTAGTAGTAGTAGTACTACGTAGTAACTACCAGGACTACTAATACTATGGTGACACGCCCCGCCCGTCGTCACCGGGCTCGGAAAAGAAGGGGGGGAGCTGTAACGCCTCCACGAGATGTGAACCAGCCAGGGCAATGGAGGAGGTACCACAAGGTCCTTCTTGAGTTAATGGATCATGTGCATGGACACGTCGATGGAGGTGGAGACAATGATAATCGGTTCCCCAACGACAAGCTGTTCACACACGAGGAACTCAGCTTGTTAACTCCAGACCACATATACAGGTTCTTTGCCATGAAAGCCTTTGGAAGACCTGATCCCGACGTGGATGATAATCCTACTCATGGTAGATCAACCTCTCTAATCTACTACAAGAAAGCAATCTCCTATTTTATGCCAAACAAACTGCACAAATGGACCGTCGTTGCCAGTGTCGGAAGTGGAAATCCTACAAAGTCCCAACAAGTTAATGATCTGATTGCAGCTGTTATTAAGAAGGAAACTAGAGGACTTGGACAAGCAAGCAGCATGGATAGGCCTCTTACCAAGAACGAGTTCTTGCAAACATTAGAACTAATGTCAAATCATGGGACGATTACGAATTGTTTGAGATACCTTGCCATGCTCAAGTTCCAGGTCCACTTGATAGGTCGTAATGATGATATGGCTCATGTTGGCAAAGATAGCTTGAAAAGATCAGCTGAATTTCCCCAGTTCCTTACAGCAAAGATGAAGTGGTCTAAGAACGTAAGGGAGGAACGCGATTGCCCAAACCAAATATTGCTTGGTTCCATGGACCATCGATCGTGTGTTGTGCTAGCACTTGCCCTATTCCTTGAAAAGTGGTGCAAAGATGGTGGAGCAGGAAGCCAATGGCTTTTCACTGAAGGAATTACTGATAGGAGGTCGCAAGCAACCGATATCGAGAAAGAGGTGAATAAAGGAAAGACCGCTTACTCTAGATTCATCAAGCGCTATGTGTTTGATAATGAAGCCTTTGTTGCTGATTTGGAACAACAAGGGAAGCTGGGTACTCATTCCTTTAGGAAGTTCGCAACCACGTATGCAAGACAGTGCGGTGGGTGCAGGGATAATGTTGATTATAGAGCTCGATGGAAGTCTAGACGCCAGCAAGATAGATACACTGATACACAGCTTGCGTGGCCTGATATCGATATTGCAAGCAAGCTCTGTTTCGGAGGGATCTGTCTTTACAAGCCAACCAATGAAAGGAACGGAATCACCGATGAGTGGCTTGCTTCTTCAGTTGCCCCTAATATTGCCAATGTGTTTGGTAACCAAGTCGCAGCAGTTCTAGGAAAGGCCTTGCTTTGGGCTTGCTTCGATCCGGCAATGCAAGCATCGGGCTTGATTCCTGAGGATGTAAAGGGTGACGTCGTTGCTTCTTGGATTCAGTTGAATCATAGACTTCCAGCCGCTGATAGGTTAGATCCTGATGTTAATCCTATGAAGAAGGTCGAGGTAATTGCTAATGAGATCGGAGGACAGGTTGTCTTTGATGAGCTTGCTGATCCAGATGATCTGCTGGCTGGTGGTGGCGGCGGAGCCCCTGGAGCTGCTGGAGGGACTGCTGTTCTTGGGATTCGACGAAATCAGTTGCAGTGGAATCATGCAATGTTTTCCAAGCTTTTTGCCACAGCTAATCAAGTGAATGATATTAGGAATAGGCAGATTGCAGCTGAAGCCAGGTTCAATCGCAAGCTGAATAGAGCCATCGAGCTGTCCCAAAGAGCTGCAATGGCACCAGTCATAAGAAGAAGGCCACGTGCATTAAATAGTGGCGCGTCGGAAGGAGCTGCTGCAGCGATTGAGGGAGCAGCTGAGCTTTGCAAGTGTCCTAATGATCTTTACGTTCTCTGGAATGAATGGGAGGTGGGTGTTGGTCTTAATAAGCCTGCAAAGGAATTCACTGCTGCTGAGCGAGGACGTGTTAAGAGCAAGTACTGCAGGAGGTTGAAGTTTTGGAGGTGCATGGAGCGACTAATCCGTGCTGGTGCTTCTTCAGAAGTAGCAATCCGAAGAATTTATTCTGTCTATGCTGGTGGTGATAGAAGAAAGAGAGTATCTTATATCCTTCGTGCAATGGCTCCCCATGAAGCTATGGGGGGTCACCACATGCTTCGTGGACCGGCGGTTGCTTCTTAGTAATCAGTCGACGTCGACGCTTCTTTGTTCTTCTTGTTCTTTGTTGCGTGTCTTCTTTCCTTACTACTTGTCCCCCCCTTATATCGAAAAAATCATAAAAATATAGTGTACTGTGTATATGTGAACTGTAGTATTTTGCTGTATTTTGCTATCCTCAACAAGAGGACCATCTTATTAGCTGACAGGAGTGTTAGTGTCGACAGTGTTGTTATCGACGTGATTGTTGAGAATTACTCTCCCGACTTGGTTTTTTTCTATAGAATTTGCCTTGTGCGTGATCGTGTGAGTACGTCTCATCAAACACGCTGATACTCTTTCGCTCCGCGCATGCATCGTGCAGCTTGTATATCTACATAGAATATGTACTGTGTCCTACAGGGTTGATATTTTAGTTATATTTTTGTTTGGTACCTGTCCGGTACTTCTTGAACAAAGAATGATGTTTCACACCAAGGATATGGTATTAAATTCACTCACATCGTGTGATATCATTTCCATCACAGCTAACAACTAAAAGTGACT